AAAATACACCACGTGTGTATTAGGCGGGTGTTCATTTTTCTTCAATAATGTATGACCATTTTTTAAAAGTAAATTTTATTCAAAAGTGAATAATCTGCAATATTTTTTCGTATCATAATGCCATACAGCAACTTGGTATACTTATTGATCATTCATAAATTAACCCTCTTCACCCGGATGCCGCCGCTTCGGCGGCAAAATTCATATTAATCTCACAATTCGCGAGTGGAAAGGGTTAATATAATGATTTCTTGTTGATTAAGTCTATTATTTGCATGGTTAAGCGCACTGTTTTGTGTGGACGGGGTTGCGAGTTCGAACCCCGCTCTGGATAACCTGATAACATGCAGTAGTGATATCAATTTTTGAAAATATAGATAACTAGTGGAGCATGGCATCGTGCCTTGAGGCAAATTGCTGAAACTTTCCGTACCGAATTTTTGAAATCAGAAATATTTTCAATATTCAAATAAAAAAATTTATTTGAAAATTAAAAAAAAAAATTGAAATAAAAAAAATCCCCAAAAAAATCGTTTCGTCAACACAAGCAGAAGGCTTTTTGAATCCATTTTCTGAACATTTAGCTCGGTATCTCCGAAACTGCTGCATCTGTATTTGCCGAAAACTAATCACAACTTCTCCCCACCATTACAAATTGAATGTTTTTTGGATCATACAAATCGGATGCTCTGTTTCGATTTCTATTTTCTGCACTCTTTGCTCCGGAATGTGGCATTTTGCCTAAAGGTAAGTTGCATCAAGTTCCTGATACTTGTCACTAATCGACTTGAGAATTTAGATTTAGCATTTTAGTCAAAATTTTCAACTGTTTATTAACTTCCAGTAGGGTAAGTTATTGTAATGGGCCGAAAATCGAAATTGAAAATTTTTACATTTCTCGACGTTTTGAAGGTTTCTGAACATTTTGGCATACCTCAGAAAAAAGGATGTGTGTGTGTGTGTGAGTGGGTATGTATGTATGGATACCATTTTTCGTCCATGTTGTCGGGCGTACGGATCAACCGAATTGAATGGTTCAAAAAACATTCGATTCCTATTGATAAGGAGATGTGCTGATTAGTTTTTGGCAAAGGCAGGTCCAGCAGTTACGGAGATAAAGAGCAAAGAAAGCAAAAAATAGAGATCGAGTTTTTGAGAGAACCGAGCATCCGATTTGAATGATCTAAAAAACATTCAATTAGTAATGATTGGTAGAAGTGGTTATTAGTTTTTTTGCAAAGGCAGGTCCAGCTATTTCGAAGATACGGAGCTAAATGTACAAAAAATTGCAGTTTTTGAGAGAACTAAGCGTCCGATTTGAATGATTCGAAGAACTTTATGCTTGACTTAACAAAATAATTGATTCTGGAAAAAAAAATTTGTTTCAATTTAGATTTTACAAATAATTCAGATTTTATTTTTAATTCTGACTATAGTTCTAATATGCTTCAAACAAATAATTTCAACTTTGCAATTCAGTTTATATAATTCTTATAAATATTAGACAATGTTATTTACAATATTTATAATAATCTATTTGAAAACATTCAGTATTCCTCGAACATTTCGTTGCGGTAAGGGAAGTTCCAGCAATATGCCCTAAGGCACGATGCCACACACCCCACTAGTTTTGCAAATAAAGTTTGCGTTTAGTCTAAATATAATCAATACAATTTCCATTTGATATATTTCAACCAAACTTATAATTTCTGTAAATGTACTAATTATAAAGCACAAACAGACGCTTGATGTATGTCCTAAAAAGTGCGTCCCATTATGCTAAACTTTAATTAACTTTTATAATTCATCCACCATCCGTAGAACTATAATATTTTAGGATTCATTAAAAAAGCAAACAAAAAATAACGTTCAATTACGAAGAAACAACCCGACCGATCTTTACCAAAAACTTATCAGAGGATTTATAACTACATTTTTCACTCAATTCAATATTGTTAGAAAATCAAAGACAGTCTTAATCATAAACATCATAGTCCATAATTTTTCACTCAATTCAAAACATCCACATTTTTTACTCTCTTCAATCTTGTTAAAAAATCAGAGACTATAGTCCATGGTTTTTCACTGAATTCAAACATGTCAAAACATCTACATTTTCCTCTCACTTCAATCTTGTTTAAAAACTAGCTGTAAGTGGAATTCTGTCTTAAGGTAATTAAGGCATCGTGCCTTAAGGCAAATTGCTGGAACTTCCCGTACCAAAAATTATTATTTTTTTAAAAACGATTAACGTTTTTGAAAAAAATTTACTTCGAAAAAATAAGATTTTTGACAAACAATTAGACAAAAAATTACTTTTTTTTGAAAAAAAAAAGTTTTTTTTTTAATTTTTTTTTTTTTTGAAAATAATTTTTTTCTTTATTTTGACATATTTTAAAAGATCTAAACTTTTTTTCAAAGCAATTGTACTGCTTTAACTGCATAAAGACGAAATATCAAACTGCGTAAGCGCCGCGTCGACGCCTAACGCGTAAACATTGGTACGGAACCCATAGGAATGTAAACCAAAATTATACTTATTGTTAAAATCTCTATAAAATATCTGATAATTTGATGTGCATATGTCTAATGATCATTTTTGATCGCCAAATGGCATTTTTTTTTACTTTTTTCATTAGATCTGCGAAACCGCTAAACCTGCCTTTATGAAAATTTGATCGATTTTTTACCTTGTCAATACAAGTAAAATATTTTTTGAATTATTAAAATCGGACACTCCGTTCTCTTAAAAACTGAGTTACCGTTTTCGGCACTTTTTGCCCCGTATCTTCGGAACGGCTAGACCTGACTTCGCCAAAAACTAATCAGCACGTCTCCTTATCAATACGAATCGAATGTTTTTTGAATTATTCAAATCGGTTGATCGGTGTTCCCGAAATCGTCGACGAAAATTTGTATCCGCACATACATACACACACGCACACACACACACAAACACACACACACACATACATCCATTTTTTCTAAGGTATGCCAAAATATTCAGAAACCTTTGAAACGCCGAGAAATGCAAAAATTTTCATTTTCGATTTTTTTGCGATTACTATAACTTGCCCTACGGGAAGTTAATTAAATATTGGATATCTTTTCAAAGAATTTTAAACTTTCAAAATTAATTCATTTTTTTGCAAAAACATTGACAAAGGGTTCTACACTTTTCCTTAAAAAAACTAGTTGGTTTGGTATTTAGCCTTGAGGCAAGTTACATGAACTTCCCGATATGTGTAAATAATTTATGAGTGATTATAAGTATTCCGAATGGATTTATTACACATCATTCCAAACGAACGAACGAACACGTTAACTCGGAGTATTTTCTAAAAGCAAATTTTCAAAAATCAATCATTTTAATTAATGAATAATTATAAATGAACCAGTTTCCGTAGGACTTTAATGGTTCACTATGTTCAAGATTAAGTAGACTATCATTATACCAACTAAATCATCTAATTTTATTTTTAACAAACATAAAAAAAAACTACTCAAACTTTGATGAATTTTTAAAATTAAACTACTTGTCGTAAGACTATAATAATTCATTAAGTTCTATAAGACCATGATATATATCGCAAAAAAAAAGTTCCATAAAAATCGGCCTAATTTTTTTTAATTACAAGAAAACGGCTCGGTAGATTTTCACCTAAAACTAATCAGTATCATTCCCAACTAATATCTTTCGAACAGTTTTTGATTTTTTAAAATCGGTTCGGTAGTATGAGCTTGAATGTGGACGAAAGGTTTAACACTTATTTCCAAATTACAAAGAAACGGCTCGGTCGATCGTCGCACAAAACTGAGAAACGATAATCCTCATCGAGATACATCAAATGCTTTTCAAATATCTGAAAACTGTTCAGGCGTTTTTGAGCAAACGTCGATGAAAGTTCTAATTTTGACAAATGCCAAAAAGAATTTTTAAAGCTAAACCAGTTGTCGTAGGACCGTAATATTTTAGTATGATCTAGAAGCCTATGGTATCTACCGTCAAAAAAATAATCATAAAAATCGTCGATTTTTTTTAAAAAAAAAAAACTATTACAAGAAAACGGCCCGGCCAATCTCTACCAAAAACTAATCAGCACGATTCCCAAACAATATCTTTCGAACGGTTTTTGAATTTTCAAAATCGATTCAGAATTGCGGGCTAAAACGTAGACGAAATTTTTTTCACTTTTCTGCGATTTATAAAGAAACGGTTTTTAAAGAAATTTATAAAGAATCGCTTGGCCGATCGTCGCACAAAATTGACAAACAATAGTCCTGATCGAGATACATCAAGTGGCTTTTAAATTTTTGAAATCGGTCCAGCCGTTTTCGAGAAAACGTCGATTTACGGCAAAAAATCAGTTCACATACACGCACACACACACACATACTTTTTCCAAATTTGGTCTCATTCGATTCAGAATGGCTTGAAACGTCGAGAAAATATAAAATTAGCAATTCGGATTTTTTTATGAAAACTTCTCCTTCGGGAAGTTAATTATCTTTTACTAATCCTAAAGAATAGACTCGGTAGATTATATTGCAAAACTAATCCACGTGAGTCCTAATCAGCGAATGGCTATTAAATTTTTGATATCGGTTCAACCGTTTTCGAAAAAATATCAATGATATGATATGTCAAATTTCGGCTCACATACACATACACAATTGCTTTTTCCAGTTTTGGTTCAGAATGATTTGAAACGTCGGAATAACAAAATTAGCAAGTCGTATTTTCTGTCAAAACAAAATTTTGGAAGGTAGTAAAAGTCTATATATTAGGCAGAAAATAAATAATGTATTTAAAATAAAACATAAATAAACCATAACCCATAATACTAATCGTAATAATAAATAATAAATAATATAAACTAATATAAATAGCTTAAAAATAATTGAGTCATTATAATGACAAAAGGTGGTTTAAAATGCGTATTTTTGCAATTACTTTGAGTATTAGCATTTAATACTGTAAAGAAGGTTATTTAGCGCCTTTTCTAAAAAAAAAAATTGGATTGGATATCCTTCTAAGGATCTTGAAGTTTCAAAATCGGATATATGTGTACGTATTTTTAAGTATATATATAGTATAACACACTAATAAATATTCCGTGTCCTTATAAAACTTATCCATATAAAAATGTTCCATTAAGGAACATCAGCAAATTTTTGGCAGTGCTCAAACAAGATCTAAATCTAATGCCAATCCAGTGATTGGACGTCTTGGTATTACAAATGGTGCCAATTAATTATTAAATATTATCAAATTCATGGTCAATTTTTGAGTAAATCATTCAGTATCTTCGAAGCCGAAGAAACCTCCAATTAATTGTCATAGGTTCCTGCAATTGTACATTTGACGAATTTTTCTGATATCGCCAGAGCTAAATCCTTCGCGTTGTCCCATTTTCGAGTTGTCTTGGGAATTCTAGAAGGATTTTTTTTAATTATAATAAGAATAGAAATTTATGAAAATTAAAGCTAAATGGCGAATGCAAGATAAATGATTATCAATGAGATGAAAATAATATTGGGTAATAGATTGAAAAAAATTAATAGATTGATTGAAGTTTCAAATTTTATGAATTTAAAGTGAAGAATGAAATGGTAAATGAATTTCAATGAGATGTAAATGATGTTTTGTGATAGTAAAAAATCTTTTGATAAATGACGGATATAGTATGTAATGCACTGGTTTCCAACCTGTGGAGCGCTGTTATAAGGGGAGAGTATAGCTGTTTCCAAACTACTATTTTTAAAAATAAATTAAATATGTTGAAATTATATAAAAAATTAATAAATAAATAATTATTTTGTATGTATATTTTCACACAATATTGCGTATTAAATTATAATATCAGTTGAGTATTTATGAAAGTCAAATCAAGTCAAAAACATATATATTTCAATAAAAGTAAGTATGTACATTGCATTTTATAACATGGGTTTTTTACCCGTAGGTATCGTATCCTTCATTGGATTTGCAAAAATTTATGAAAATAGAAAGTTATAAAAAATTAAGGAGAGCGCAACATTTTTTTTAGAAACAGCGGGGACGCGGTACAAAAAGGTTGGAAAACGCTGGCGTCATGTAATAATGAATTAGCGACAAGACAACACAAATTCGATGAATTTGGACCAAAAAAACATATATAATATATAATATATAATATAAATATACTATTGTCAAAAACATTTTATCAGCATATAAAATTATTAAATGTGCAAAAATTTAGAAGAAACAAAATCCATAAGACGTCGAAAATCCTACAAAGATAGTAGTAATAAAAATAATCCATGTGCTTATTACCGATAGTTAATCAATAATTTGGTATAAAACTAGGTGTAGGTTTCGACGGTAACTGTAATCAGTAGCTATCTCCAAAGAACGTGGTAGAACGTCGAATACTTCGGCATAGATTCTGATTGGAATCGCTTAAGCGCATGACAAAATTTTAAACTTTGATGAATTTTTAGAATTCAGCTGCTTTTCATAGGCCTATAATATTTTAGTATATTATTTTAGACCACAAAATCTTTCGTTGTACAAAGTTTTATAAAAATCGTCAAAAAAAAGTTTCAATGTTTATTTACAAAAATACGGCCCGGCCGACCATTACCAAAAACTAATCTCAACGCGATTCCCAAGCAATATATTTCAAACATTTATTTGAAGTTTCATAATCGATTTAAAATTATGGGCTAAAGAAAAGTGGGCGAAAAAAAATTCACTTTTAATGGCAATAAAATTATTGAAATCGGTCCAGTCGTTTTTGAGAAAAGCTAACTTCCATTTTCTTCGGGAAATGTAGTACATGATATGAATGGTATGATCGATGAACAACGGTAAATCATTATTTTAAAAAAAAATTACATAACATGCAAACATGCAATGACCAAATTTGAAACAGACACCTACCTTTGCTACAATAGTGGGCTGTCCATTTACTGAAAAAGCATTTGCTGAATAATGCATGACGCTTCTGTAATCATATGGAACTCCAAAACCATAATATTCGGAGGCCTCTACTTTTTCAAAATTTGATTCAACTCCTGAAAAAGAATACAAATTAATAACAGGTACGAAAAAATATTTAATTCATATCTATTATTGAGTAACAACATTTTTGAAAATATTAGATCTTAAACAATGTCCAAGGACCACCAGCGGTCGATGGTGCTGAACATCATTTTCATCTTTTAGGTAAATAATTCAGTAAATATTATTACCTGATCTGATATTGGACCATCTGATAGAAACATAGTTATCTCTCTCGGCTCGGTTCTGTTCGTGTGTGAATCCGACGGCGTGCATCAATTCGTGGATGACGGTGCCTTTTTTGGTGGTACAACCAGGAGACTGCAAATTCACTACTTGCTCGCCTCCAATGCGACCAACGCTGCTCCAACAACCGCTGCCATCTAAAATAATAAATGAAAATTAAATCAAACTAGGTGTAAAAGGCATTTTGTCAGGACTGGGGTAAAAACAAACTTGTTTGGAAACTTTAGGATAATAATATATGATAAATTCTGAATGCATATGTAAAGTTTGGTAGTATAGGATATAAAATGAAAATAATAATGTATGTAATTAAATGCCCCAGCAAGGACAATAATTATAAACTAAATAGCAAAATCAATGGCTTATTCACCAATTTGTAAAAAAAAATTGATCAACATACAAATTTATTATCTATATTCACTTACCTGATCTGATGGAAATGTAATCTGGTTCTCCCATACGTGGAACAAATTTAATACATGTTTTGGTCTTGTAATCATTCAAAGCACGTTCTATCAAGTCCATTTCATGAGCATCTAAAAAAAAATTAAAATTTTTCAAAAAAATCACTTATGTTACATTTATTACGTAGATGTTTCGTACAAAGTATCAATGTTTCAACCAAATTTCGTAGACGTTACGTGGTTTTTTATTTAGTGGAATTCTTTCTCTGAACAAAACCTAAATATTTATTTGAGATAATATATATTCTGTAACTTACTAAAGTTTCCCTTGATTTCAAAAGGAATAACGCCATTTGGCCATCTCGCTGATTTTGCCCTGATTCCATTTCGACCAGCTGGTCTTGGTATCAACATATCTCCTTCTAGGTAAGGTCCTAATTCTTCAGGATTTACCAAACTATCTGGAGTCCATGCAGCTAGTGCTTCTCCTAAATAAATATTAACAACAAATTTGAAATATATCTTTTTAAGTTGCTGTTTTTTAAATAATTCGATATTAGAAGAAATATTTTACTTACAGTGCCAAAAAAATTACTAAATGTCCATGTAGGAAAGTTGTAAATATATTATTGAATACAAAAAATAACTAGTGGTGTGTATGGCATCGTGCCTTAAGGCAAATTGCTGGAACTTCCCGTACCGTAACAAAATGTTCGAGGATAATCCCCAAATGTTTTCAAACAGATTATTCTAATATTTATAAGAATTATATAAACTGAATTGCAAAATTGAAAATATTTGTTTAAAGTATATTAGAACTTATGTCAGAATTAAAATCTGAATTATTTTCGATATACAAAAAGTTAAAAAAAATGAAATTAAAAAAAATCCAGAAACAATCGTTTTGTCAACACAAGCAGAATGTTTTTTGATTCATTCAAATCGGATACTCCAACCCCTCAAAAACTCGGTTTCTATTTTTTACACTCTTTGCTCTGTATCTCCGTAACGACGCAACCTGCCTTTGCCAAAAAGGCACATGTCCCTATCAATTGGAATCGATTGCTTTTTGAATTTTTCAAATCCATAAGCCCGAAATCGTCGACGAAAAATTGTCTCCACACATACACACACACATCCATTTTTTCTGACAATGAAATATGCCAAAATGCTCAGAAACCCCTGAAACGTATAAATATGCAAAAAAAAATTATTTTCGATTTTTGGCCCATTACTATAAGTTACCCTACGGGAAGTTATCCCTTTCCACTCACGAATTGCAAGATTTATATGTATTTTGCCGCCAGAGCGGCGGCATCTGAGTGGAAAGGGCAAATAATAAATAAAATATTTTTTACATTTTTCACATTAAAAATCATTGTAGACTTAGGTTGGGTTTTCTAACGTTTATCAGGTTGATCGAAATATATTGTGCCAATTTAGTCACCAACTTATTTATCTAATATTGGCCTAATATATGTTCATATAAAACCAAAATTATAATAGACGGTGAAAAATTATGGGTGATTAAAAAAAATTTAGTGATGTATGGCATCGTGCCTTAAGACAAGACAAGACATGCTGTTGAAGATATCGAAGACATTTCCTTGAATTATAAAAGTGAATTTTAAAAATTATAAATCTTGGTACGAAACACATAGTTCTCTCAAAAACTGAATTTCCCTTTTCGCACTTTTTCCCGCATCACCAGTAGGAAACGAATCATTCAAATCGGTTGCTCCATGCTCTCGAAATCGTCGACAAAAATTTGTATCAAGAGATACATAAATACAAACAATAGTCCAGTCATTTAAGCTTAAATTAGGTAAGAATCTCAGAATTCGAGATAGCCAGCTATAAGCCTGTAAATACTTGTATATTGACACTCTAAAGTTGTCTCAAAATCTACATATGGTATTGACACCCTATCATATGTAGTTTTGAGACAACTTTAGGGGGTCAATATACAAGTACTTATAGACTTACAGCTGAGTATCTCGAATTCCGAGGTGAACTTACTATAATGACTAGACTACAACACACACTGTTCCAAACTGAACGAAAATGTTCAGAATGTCTTGAAACGTAAAGATATGCACAAAAACTATTTTCGATTTTTTGCGATTGCTATAACGTACCTTACGAGAAGTTAATTATATTCAATACGAATTTATTACTGCAAAGTTAGAAACTTTTCCCAACGAATGATTTTCATTGACTTGTTAATAGCAAATTTATTATTAATTGATTATTAACATACCTGCTTGTTCAGATGGCAAACCATACAATTTGTTACCATAACGAGATAAATCAATGGTCAAATCGTCTTTACCACTAGGTAATTGATTATTATTTAATTCTTCCGTATCAAAGTGTTTTATGATACGACAATTCACAACTACTGCCAAAAAAGCAACCGCCAAAGTTAACGGTAACATATTCATTTTTGCACAAAAAATAATTTGAAAAATTTATTATATAGTACGTTATGATTTTCACAATTTTTAATTACAAAATGCAAATTAAAACCGAATGCAATTGCATTTACATACAATCAACCCGTATATATATAAATATATATTCCGACTGAAACGACAGAACAAATGTGATTTGATAGACCTCGAAATCCTCGTTTTATACTCAAAAGCGATTCAAAATTATCGTGCAGGTTGTTATCGTCAAAAACATAAAATTATATAAATTTTAAATTAATCTGACTTTTGCCTATTATAAAAACAAACGGATAACAAGAAGATTATCTCATGATTATTAATTTGAACCGCTAAAAATAATACAGGGCTAGATTCTTTTTTTTTAAACCCGTATTAAATAAATTGATATGTAAAACACTTGCTTAGTAATATAAATAAAACTAGTGGTGTATGACATCGTGCCTTAGGCAAGTTGCTGGAACTTCCCGTAACGTAATGAAATATTCGAGAATTTTTTAAATGTTTTCAAATAGATTATTATAAATACTGTAACTTATATATGTTTACAAAAAAATGAATAAACAAAACTTAATCAATCAATCAATCAAATCAAATCAATTTTTTTCCCCAAAAGCAATCGTTATTAAGTTTCATAGAATGGCTTTTAAGGGGTCAATTCTGCAATAAAATAGTAATTATATTTGTCTCTATTTTTGTATGAATCGGTAGTAAAATCTGTCAAAAAGCTATGTATTCGCTGTGGGATCAGGCTTTTCACACATAAAACCAAACCTCCAAAACGCATACTATACAAATAATAAATTTTATCATAAGTGCATCTTTTTGATGCGACATTGATAACACATACGTGAAGTTAGGTTTCATGTGTGAAATGCTTGTTTGCACAGCAAATACGTAGGTTTTAGACAGTTTTTACTACCAATTCTTACGAAAATAGGACTGTAACATAACGTTGCCATAATATTCCTATTTTATCGGAAAAATGGTTTCTAAAATTTTGGAATTAGTGAAAGATCAAATTTTGGTTTAAATACAAATACACACATACTTTTTTCAATTTTGGTTTATATTGATTCAGATCGACTTGAATCGTCGAACATACATAAAATTAATAATTTGAATTATTTTAATAAACTTTATTTGCTATAAACTTTCTTCGAGAAGTTAATGATAAAGTTATAGTACTGGGCCGATAATCAAAAATAAAAAAATTTGCATATCTTCACGTTTCAGAGATTTCTGAACATTTTGGCATACTTCAGAAAAAATGAATGTGTGTGTGTGTTTTGTGTGTCCGCATTTTTTCGTCCACGTTTTTCGTTCATCATTTCGTCATTCGATTCCTATTAATAGGGAGATGTGCTGATTAGTTTTTGGTGAAGGCAGATCTAGTCGTTTCGGAAATAGGAAGCTAAATGTGCCAAAAATGGCAGTTTTTCAGAGAAATAAGCATCCGATTTGAATGATTCACAAATCTTTCTGCTTGTGTTGACGAAACGATTGCTTTTGGGAAAACAATTTTTATTTTTTTTTTTTCATTTTCAAAAAAAAATTTTTTTGTGAATATCAAAAAATTATTCGGTTTTTAATTTTTATTCTAGCTAAAGTCCTAAACATCACTTATATATAATACTTCAAATAATTATTATAATCTATTTGAAAACATTTAATATTACTCGAATATTTTATTAATGTAAGTAAGGGAAGTTCCAGCAATTTTCCTGAAGGCACAATGCCTTACACCACTAGTTTTATGTATATTCGACGCCTGAAGTCGGTCTGAATCAATAGAAACCAAAATTGAAAGAATTGCGTTTATTTGTATTTGAACCAAAATTTTATCTTTCACTAATTCCAAAATTTTAGGTCATTTCTAAAATTGCTGTATACATAAAATATAAATATTATGGCAACGCTATGTTACGGCTCTATCTTCGTATGAATTGATAGTAAAAACTGGTAAAAATCTATATATTTGCTGTGAACACATAAAACATAACTTCACGTATGTGTTATCAATGCGGCATCAAAAAGATGCACTTATGATAAAATTGTTATTTGACCATTGTGCTTTTTGGAGGTTATGTTTTATGTGTGAAACGCCCGACTGCACAGCAAATACATAGCTTTTTGACAGGTTTTACTACCAATTCATACGAAGTTGAATTGCCATAACATTTCTATTTTATAAGGGAATTAATACCTTACAAGACATTGTATGAAACTTAATAATAACTCGCGATAATTAGTGTTACGAGACGATCGGCTGAGCCATTTCTTTATAATTAGCAGACCAGTGCAAAAATTTTCTGATGATTCCTGAACTGATTTTGAAAATTCAGAAACATTTCGAAATATCAGTTGGAAATTAGGCTGATTAATTTTTGGTAAAGATCGTTTGGATTCCATTACAATTAATCGTTTAAAACAATTTTTTGTCGACTTCAATTATCTTCAGATCATAAAAGTTCCAAAAATTTCAGTTGTGAAAAAATTATAGCGGCGAATAGAATAATATAATTCAATTACCCAGGTAAGTGTTATTATATTAATCAATATCACTTATGCATTCTTAATTATCCATTAAATTGCCAAACAATATTATTTTATTAATTTATTATTGTCCTTGATATTTGCCATTCAAAATAAATTATCTTTTTCAACCTGCACGTTATCTGCCATTTGCAATGGCCTTTGTATAAATTTATCTCAAACAAACAGCGATGGTAATGAATCAAATAGGCTAAATAAATATTGCAGATGACTCATTTAAATTAAAAATAACTAAATGAAAATCCGCGGATAATTAGAATTTCTATCAAAATCCGAAATTAAGAGTTTAACCTTAATCGTTTTATTTGAGAATCGGGTTTCCTGGTCAGTAGGTCAAGTTTTAAATTTTTCGCGTGAATATAATCAAATTATAAAAAGATTAAATCTCAAAATTTGGGCCCTGGCGAACAAGAAACGGTGGAATTTTACGTGAGTTTGTTTTATTCATTTTTTACTTTTATATATTCTTGTTTTATTCCTGCAAATAATATTTATACCATTAAAAAATTCATTAACGAGTAGTAAGTGGTATTTAGATTTAGTCAGTTATATTGCAGGCACATTATTTTATGTTCCTCAAGACTATAAACTCTAATCATCACACAAAATTTATAAAAATAGTAAACAAATTCAACGATGAATTACAACACCATTGCCAAAGCTTTTTGAAGTTTCAAAATAATTCAGGATCTTTGGCGAAAAATTGGACAAAACATTTTGCACTTAACTGCGAATTATAAAGAAACGGTTTGGCTCAATTTGAATTTCTTCAAATGGCTTTTAAATGTTTAAAATCAGATCAGACATTTTAGCAAAAACGTTGACAAAAACCATATTTTGAATCTCATATATACTTTTTTTAATTTTAGTAACAAAAGATTGAAAGGGATTTGAAATATGAAGAGAACAAAATCACTTCCAATATCCAAGCGAGAACAAACTGATTTGGTAAGTTAAAAATAAATTCTATATATTAATTGTAAATAAATATAAAATTATTTAATCAGTTTTCAAATCTCCAAAATGGTTTTAACACTCAATTTGTAAAAGATCATGAGAAGAAGTCACAACATATTTAATGAAAAGATTTACATATAAGTATTATTAAATCCACATATAGCTGAAAATATTAAAATCTACAAATATTATTTTTTTTACTTCTGCCCTGTCCCAAATAAATCAGGTCACACTAGATTGGGAAAGTTTTCAAGAAAGATTAAACTAGTCAAACAAGTTTTCCCCTAAATACTGTAAATCATATTCATATCTTTAAATTATCTTAACAAAAATTAGCATATCATTATTCATAGTTTAAAGGAAGTTTTTAATTGCTCGTCACTAAATAATCTCAAACAATCAGTATAGTTTATGAATAATATGTAGTAGGAGTAGGTATTATTCTTATAGAATATAGAAGTAGTAGTATCATTACGTTATTAGTGAAATTATGAAAATTGTTAATAACATTGTTGAAGTTATTAAGTGTTGAAAGTTTAAAATGAGATATAGCAAAATTAAAACCCAAATAACAGAAAAAGATACAGAATAAAACAAAGATTAGAATTTGAGAAGTTTATTAAAATATTAAGTTAGACATTATATACAGAGACTATTATATAGATATTCAGTCATGATTCATACATATATATATTAGGGTGATCCTTAATATGGATGTTTTCAAATTTCTCTGTTGCCAGAGGCTTAAATGCTTCCAAATTGATAAAAAAAAAATCTCTGAAAGTTATAGCTCTTAATATTAACTCTAGCATAGTCCACAATCCAACCAAAATTGCTTGGTTCTTCTTCCTAAGTAAATACTTATTTTATAAAATATATCTAATTTTTTATTTATGATCAAAATAAGCAAATACAATGCTGTTCTCAAAATTTTGATTCACTTGTCGCTAAGTTATAAAATTCTAAAAAACAAATGGAATTTTACCCATGTTATTTTCATTAGAAACTTTGGTTGGAGTACGGACTATCTTAAAGTTAATATTAAGAGCTAAGACCTTCTGAGAATTTGCTTTCATCAATTTGGAAGCATTTGAGCCCCTAGGAGCAAAGAAATTCGAAAACATCCATATTAAGGACTATATATATATACACACATACATACATAGGGTAGAGCAGGGCACAAAAGTCCGATTTGACCTCAAGTAATTATACTGTCTAAAAGACTAACTCAAACTATGATCAGTAAAATTTTCAGTTAATTCCTAATCACAGAAATGTGTTCTTCACTCTTTTTGTAAAATTTGTCATCTGTCCCTTTTACCCCGTAAGCTACATTATTCAACCAGAGCAAAAAATAATATTCATGGGCACATTTTTTTTATAGGAACACTGTATATAACCTTGATCCGGTATTTTATTAAAAATATTCAACAGTTAGTATTTATTTAATTTATCTCTTGTAAAATTGTTTTTAAACTTAAGTTACTTTTTTGTTTACTACATTTTGTTGTTTTCTCATCTTTGTCTGGATAAAAGTTGATTTTGTGCTTTTTATCACACCCAGATGCTTAAAAATTATATTAGAGTCTCGTAAACTAAACAACAGTGCTCACAACTAAAAAACTAACAACGAAAAAAAAACTTTAGTTATACATTTTCTAACATTGCTATTTATCTCCCAATAGCAATGTTGAAAAAATGAAGGTGCTGGCTAGTTATACATTTTTTGTCCTTTACTTTCAATTTTTTTAAATTTTTTTACTTAGCTTTACTTGTTTTTGGATATTGGTGATGGGCCGCCTTTTTGCCCATGGACCTTTAATCCTTACTGTATTCTATATGTTACATATTTTAATGTATACATATACAAGCTTCACTTGTTTTTGGATAGTTGTGGCGGACCTTTTTACCCGCGGACTTTTAATCCTCGCTCTACCCCTTATATATTTTATCATATATTTACACAATAGAAATAATTACATTTCTAAATAAAATAAATATGACTTTGAAATTATTGCACTTATTTATTTCTAATTACCTTAACTATGATTCAATTGTTCCTGTTAAACTAGCAGCTTTTGTTCTTAAATTGTTTTCCAAACTATAAAAATATTTCATTCGAGCAAATATTTTTATTGCATTTTCATAATCCTTACTCTCAATGTATGTTCCCAACTTAAGCCCCAATTCTTGAACAGTTGCTTGAATCTTTTTTAAAGATTCTGATGCCTGTTTAGCTGTAGATATTTCGGCTATCTGAAGATATAAATTACAGTTCAAACATTACTTGATTTATAATATTTATTTTATTTTGATTTATAATACTTTACCTCTTCGTTGCGTTCCATCATTTCCATTAAGAACTCTGTATCTTTAGTTTCACTTTCTTCCGAGAGACTTACACCGGCGTCTTGAAGTAAATACTCTGCTCGATCTATGGGGTGATTCATTGTGGCATAAGCTTTGTTCACTTGGGAACTCCATTCCAGAGATAGTTCTTGTTCTTTTTCTGATCTATAATAAAAATTAACAAAATAGGTTGCTGTGTTTAAAAGATAAATATAAATATTACCTATTTGTAAACTTATCTGGGTGTAATAACTTCTGTAAACCTTTAAATTTTTGAGACAGACTTTCTCTGTCTATTGTATATTTCTTTTCTAAATCTAAGATATTAAAATAATTATCACTTTTATCAGGTTCTCTTAATGTTTTACAATGTTCACAAAACATTTGATTCATGTAAGAACAACTTTTCTGACATTTCCAACAAATTTTCTTTGCGGAGGCGAAGGAACGTATAAAATTATTGGATGTTAGATTTGTTAACAGATGTTCACTGAATGCATTATTGTTTACAAGGGATTCTCCATTTTTAATTAATCTTAATAACTTCCACATCACAAAAATTATTCAACAAATTTGAGAAGTTACATAAAATATTTGACGTATGTAAAACCTAACCTTAAGTGACCAATTAGCACATGGTGTTCTGAAAAAGAATAAACAAATGTTATTTTTTTATGAAGATTGGACACTCATATGTACTGATACATTATTAACAAATATCAGCACATCTTGATGTATCTATGTTCATTGTTTACATGTCATTTGTCAATATCAACATCATCTGTCAATGTCAACCTTAAAAATGCTCTAAAATTCGTAATTTGATATTGGTATGGTAAAATAAGTGATTTCGATAATATGATCGATGGTACGCAAATACTGCTAAAATAATAAAATAGCACTAAAATGTCTGATCGTTTAACCCAATTACAAGATGTTATTAATCAGGTCTGCTCTTATTGATAAAAATTACATACAAAATATATTATAAACTAATGTACCATGCATCTTTATTATTCATTTTTCTATTTCTAACTTTCTATATCTTTTAGCAAGCAGATCATTTTTGCAACGCGATCGGTATTCTGCAACAACATTCCACGCCTACAAAGTTTGCAGCATTTGATCGAAGTGGCTCTCAAACCCCAAATCAGCAACAGAACCACGAAGATTACGCCCAGTTGTTTTCAATACTTATCTCAAGATGTGCTAAAGATATTGATACACTAATTGAATCTCTTCCCAATGAGGATAGCTCAACCGAACTACAAGTTAATAGTTTAAGAGTTCTTGAAACTGAAAACCAAGAAGCAGCTGAAAGATTGGAAGAGGTTTGTAAATTTCACTAGTCACTGTAAAATATAAATTTTTATCTAAAAAAATTTATAAATGCTCTAGCACTATAGTCCTATAATACAGATGTATTTTAAGATCTATGTCTAGTATAATTTTAATGTTAATAACCACTAATTTGTTTCCACTCCAAAAATTTTTTTTTATTTAAGATCGTGCAAAGGGGTGAACTCTTGTTAGAAAAAATCCAAAGTGCACTCAGTGATATAGCACAAGCTCAACTGGATATGCAAATACCCACTACTACTTCATCAACAAAGACTGCAAAAAATGCATAACATATTTATTTAAATTAAAATTAAATAATTTAATTAGAAATACATTTTTCAAAACTTGACAACTATATGACAATTCTAGTAAGTATGTTCTTTTTGTACATATAACTTAAATTATGAATGAAAAATTAGTTTATTATATTTTCTAATTTCATAGGTTGCAGAAAATATATTTATAAAATATACAAATTTGATACAAAATAGTCTTAACATACAATTCTTTACTGTACAATGTCAAAGAGAATGTTTTAATATATATATATACCTAAAGTTTATATATATATACCTAAAACAATCACTGAGCTTCATATATTTATTAATTATGAGATAACCGTTTCTAATAAAAATACTATATTATTTACAATTAATTTAATGTTCCCCTACACTGAACCGCTCCACACAAACATGTAATCTTTTCTTCTTCCAATGGGAATTTATAATCATAAGTGATTTCTTCATTTACAGCAATGGGCTGCTTGGAATATATCACAATTTTTTTCTGGGCCTCTATAGTGATGATTTTTGCATAACAATTAGGCTGTAAATACAAATACAACATAATATTATCTGTATGGATTCCTCCTCAAAAAAAATTTATATAGTTGAAGTATCATTGATTGGGTAATAATCCTGAATGTTCATTTTTTCAGTTTTTGTTTTTGTTTTTGTTTTTTGATAATCAAATATTGTAGAATTTCGAGTTTTGATTTGATTTCACCCTTGATTGACACGTATATTTTAGCTAATAGTTTTTTTTTGTAAATTAATGGTGTATTTAAAAATTGTATTTTATTTGATATACATATCAAGTGCCCAAATGTATAAATAAAAAGTGAAAATTAATTTAGCATTTTAATTAAGCTAATTGGCTGCTAATTATATCAATCTTTTCCATGCTATTTCCATACAAAACTTTAATTGAATTGCGCACTATCTAAAGGACAATATTAAGTGCTACAACTGATAGAGGATTATTTAATCAATTTGAGAAGCATTTGAGCCCCTGGGAGCAAGAAAATTCGAAAATGTCCATATTAAGGACCACCGTAATATATATATATATATATATATATTAGAGATCACCATTCTTTTCCTTAAGTAATAGGATGTTTGGTATTGAAAGTATGGATTAAACTAATGACATGTTCCAAAAACATTGTCTTAAACTGATTTCGAAATACAAATGTTTTCGTTCATTCTCTTGGAAATATATTTAAACTTTCGCCAATATAACAACATTTACAATAATTGCAATCCACTTTGTAAAAAACATCAGTAATACGCTCAACAGATATATATATATATATATATATATATATATATATATATATATATATATATATATATATATATATATACAATAGAGATATTTGAAAAGTACTTACGTTACAGCTATGATTGATAAACCGAGCAAGGTTACCGCACTTTGTGGCATCAATAATGTTATCTATATCTATCCTGAACAAATATGAACTTCCAATTCCAATGGATTCATATTTTGTTTCACGCAAATCGGCAACCACAGGTCTAATCATTTGTCCCACATACTCTATAACCATTTCGTCAGCAGCGATAGGTTCCATGGCAAATAGACCCCAGTCATGAATTCCTGATTTAGCAAATTTCAATTGTTTTTTCCTGAACTTCAGCTGGTTGAACTTCAGCAAATCTGAATCAGTGTCTGTTCCAAATGCTGTAAGTAATCTTCTCTGATTTGACCTAGCTTCTCGTGAAATGCCTTGTGTTTTGGCTACTGAATTCTTCTGCTCCATGTTAATTGCATTGTTAATGGATTTGGCATTATGGTACTTAAATTTGGCTTTTTCTTTCATGTCCAGTTTGTAAAAACCTATAATAACGTTGTCACATGATCACTATAATAACATTTCACAAAAAAAGTATACTTATAATATCAAATTAGAAAAAAAAACTGAAATAACTAGGTTAAATTTGCAATTTAAAAGAAAAAATATAATTTAGTATTTAACAATTTTATGTTGATGCAGGATGTGGCATATAAGTATTATTGAAAGCAAAATTACCTTCCGTCCTTGCGCAACCAGTTTTATGCATTCGCAGATCATCAGCATGTTTATGTTTTTTCTTAGGTGGTATATAATGAAGATCTGTAGGACAATGTTCAACCCAATGGGTGTCATTTAACCAGTAACTATTAGAATCATCAGCAAGGAGTAGATCATAACTTTTCTGAAGATAATACATGTCTTCTTTATCAATACCTGTAATTCAAAACAAAAAATGTTATAAATAGTGGAGTGCATGGCATTGCGCCTTAAGGCAAATTGCTGAAACTTCCTGTGCCGTAATTAAAAATCTTGGTACGGAACCCAAAAAAAAAAATACACAAAATGAGTACACATTATTATATAATATAAATCTCTATAAAATATCAAATAAACATCTTTGACCTCAAAATGACATTTTTTTAACTTATTTTTATTGAGAGTCCATAACCGCTGGTCCTGCCTTCCCAAAAATTTAATCAGTTCTTCATCTTGTCAATACAAGTAAAATGTTTTTTGAATTATTAAAATCGGATGCTCCGTTCTGTTAAAAACTGAATTACTGTTTTTGGCACTTTTTGCCCCGTATCTTCGAAACGGCTAGACCTGCCTTCATTTGTACACACACACACACACACACACATACATCCATTTTTTCTAAGGTATGCCAAAATATTCAGAAACCTTTGAAATGTAATGATATACACCTAAGTCTGTTTTTACACGGTTTTGATATAACACAGTTTGAAAATAGAATAGTTTTAAGTTTTTTACACGATTTTATTCTATTTAGCACAATTTGAAATTTTATTTACTTAAATTTTTTTGTCAAATTTAATTTTTGCGATGTATGTTCATATCATAAAAAAGTACCTATGAAAGAAAAAAGTCTGAAACCATCTATAGTATCGATAGTTTGCGAACACTAGCTTAAAGATTTAAGTGAATTCCCCTTTAGCGCGTACAAACAATTTTTACTGGTCAAAGCAAATGTGAAGTGAATGGCAAAGCACTAATTTAGGGGAATTATTATTAAAATAAACATGAATTCTTGTTCTTGAAAATTCTTGTTTTTCACTAATTTTAATAGGTTTTAGAGAGTAGGACAAACCACCCATTTTTGTATAAGATCAATGTCTTTTTTTTACACGGCTTCTTCTGGAACCAATCTCCGTTCAAAAACAGACTTAGGTGTATACAAATTTTCAATTTCATTTTTTTTGCGATTACTATAACATACCCTATGGTAAGTTAATAATCTTATGAAACATAATTCTTTACCAACAAGTAAAGTAGTAATTCATAATTCTTTACAAACAAATATTTAGCTTGTTTACAAATATTGAATATACCTTTAGTCAAGAATTCATAAAGAATTCCAACTTCCTGCATGACTTCTCGTTCCTTATATTTAATATATGGATAAGGATCCGGTAACGTTTGAGCTGGATTAAAATCATTTGTGTAGACACTTTCTCGAATCTTGTTTGGAGGCTGCTTGTGTTTTGTAAGATTGACATCATTATCTGAGTACAATGGCTGTGCCTTTCGTTGTTGTGCCAATTTTTTGTAATCATTTTTATTCAACCTAGATTTTGGTTCCTTCTTTGTTTTCTTCATTGTGACAGGGGTCTTTTGTACTGCAAAAAAGAAAGAAAAGAGACAGAATTAAATAATTGATAAAACTCTGTAGAAGCTCCAAATAAAGTGTTTTAAAATTTAGTGTAAATGGTGTTTTTAAAAATACCGTTTTAGTGTTTAGTACAACTATCATTTTATTATTATTATAATGTTGGCAAATTGTACCTGAAGATGAAGAGTGCGTCGATTCAGCGGTTGTATAACCATGATCGTGCGCAAATGCGTTAGTGTCGTCTCGTTTCCGCTTCTCAGGCTCACGCGGTGCAGGAATTGAACTTTTATCAGAAGCAGATGCCGGAGGTAAACTGTATGAATGTTCTAAAGCCACTTGAGAGGCAGGTGTAGAACCTCCGTCACTCGAACTGCAACTGCCACGAGAACCACTAGGTGATACGGTGCGCGGCCGCGAGGAAAGGGTTGACAGACTCTGCAAACAAATATAGCTAATAAATAAATAATAAGCTTAAATTTAAAAACCCTTTAAAAAAATATATAAAAACCTATAAAACAATGTCACATAATCACATTAACACACCATAATAACATTGAAAAAAAAACTATACTCATAAGCAAAATATTTAAAAAAAACTGAAGTTAACTATGCCAAATTTGCAACTTAATAAAAAAAAATAAAAGAAATAAATATTTATAAATATTATATTGGTACAGGATGTTCTGAGTATGTATTAATAAAAGAGAAATTACCTTCTGTCCTTGCACAAACTGTTTTGTGAAGTTGAAATTCATCAATATATTTATGTTATGAATCGTGCCTTAAAGCAAATTGCTGGAACTTCCCGTACAAAATATAACAATTTTGAAAAAAAAACTTTAAAAATTTGATAAAACGAGATTTTTGATAATTTTGAAGTTTCTTAAAAAAATTGACTTTTTTGAAAAAATTGTTTTTCTATATCTTGAAATTTTTAGAAAATTTTGATCTTTTTTCAAAGCAATCGTGCTGCGTGCTGTTTTGGAGAAGAAATATCTAAGCGCGTAAGCGCCGCGTCTTAGTTTACAGAATAATCATTGGTACGGAATAGAATGAAATGTAAATGTAAACAAATAGAATGTAAATGTAATGAAATAGAAATGTAAACAAAATTTGTACTCATTATTAAAATCTCTAAAAATATCTGATAATTTCATATGCATATGTCTAATGATCATTTTAGACCGCTAAATATTATATTTTCCTCTGTATCTCCGAAACTCCTAGACCTGCCTCCCAAAAATTTAATCAATCCTCCATTTTGTCAATACAAGTAAAATTTTGTTTGAATTATTGAAATCGGACGCTCTGTTTTCTCAAAAACTGAATTACCATTTTCGGCACTTTTTGTCGCGTTCGAAGCGGCTAGACCTGCCTTTGCCAAAAACTAATCAGCACGTCTCTTTAAGGTGCGTCCTCCCATAACAAACGAGCACGAACGAGTATGATAAACAAGAAAATACAAAGAAGAACAAACACGAACGCGAACGAAAGCAAATCATTGCAAACGAACTTGAACAAACGCCTCAAAGCAATGAGGACTTGAATCTTCTTTGTTCGTTTCTGGATGTACCGTGAAACGTCAGTTTTACTATTTAAAGTGAAGGGAAAGGGAAACATTATTGAAAGTGATCAAATTTATAAAATTTATCAATAACAACAATATCTTATAATAAGCACAACATAATCTAATGCAGGACTGCACATATAAACAATAACAAAGAAAAATGTTTGTCTACATTCGTGGTAGTGTCCACACTGCACATACGAGAACGCACCTTTAAAAACTCTATAAAATATCTGATAATTTTAATGCACATATGTCTAATGATCAGTTTTGACTGCCAAATAGCATTTGTTTTTTAACTTCTTCCACTCCGAAACCCCTAGACCTGCCTCAACAAAAATTTAATCAATCCTCCATTTTGCCAATACAAGTAAAATATTTTTTAAATTATTCAAATCGGACGCTCCGTTCTCTCAAAAGCTGAATTACCAATTTTCGGCATTTTGGCACTTTTTACCCCTTATTTTCGAAACAGCTGAACCTGCCTTTGCCAAAAACTAATCAGCACGTCACCTTATCAATATTGAATGTTTTTAAACCATTCAAATCGGATGATTCATCTTTCCGCCACACACACACAAAGTTGGTAAAGAATTATATTACCCTACAGAAAGTTAAAAACAAAATATATTTTACAAAATATACTTTACAAATTATGGTCCAATTAGTAGAAAGAATACAATTAGTAGAAAGAATATTTTTAGATATATTATTGATGATTACCCCATTAATGTCTTTAGTTGATTCATCTGTGGCAGGTGTCTTCTTAGTAGATAAGCTCGAGCTACTTGATGTACTTGTTGTTGTATTGCCACTAGATGAAGTAGCAGTAGTGGAGGATGACACAGCCTTTTTTGCAGGAGTACGTTCTACTATTCTATAATAAACACAAAAAATAAGGCTTTAAAAACAAACGAATGAAATGGGTTGTCAAATACAGATTTTGAATCAAATTAAAATTACTGTCAAATTTAATGATATTAATAGATAATAAATAAATAAATCATTTATTTACTTTTTAGGCTCGGGGGTTGTTAATTTGACGAGCTCATCCATTGCAGAATAGCTTGATCCAGGTGTTCTGGGAACTTTGCGATCTCCACTTTCACTAAGACTTAATAAGTATTCCGCTTCTTCTAGTCTTGCAATACCAGGTTTATCAGATTCCTTTTCTTTCGGGGATACCGCTTTTTGGATTTCTACCTCTTCTTTTGCTTTGGACTGCTCCATCCTCAACTGCTCCTTTCGTTTTTGTTCCTCCATAAATTCTCTTTCAATTTGCTCCATGTACTCGGTATTTCTTCTCCTTCTTTCTTGATACTCCCTTTCTTCATCAGAATCAGAGTAAATCCTATCTTCTAGAATTGCAGATTTTTTCTCTGAAACTGAAGGTTTTATTTCGGGTTTATTATCAGGTTCAGGCACAATTTCAGATTTGGGTTCTAGTTCAATATCGTGGCCTGGTGTTTTTGGTCTTGTGGGACTCATTGATACTTCTTCATCAGGGATAGGCGTGTCCCTGTCAGAAATTTTAGAAAGTGCATCATCACTGTCACTATCTGTAGAATATATCCGATTGTCTTTTATCTTGAGCTTTGATTTTTCATGCCTAATTGTCTCTTTTGGTTTTGTGTTGCGAGTTTTTATTTCCATCTCTACCTCACTGTCTGAAGAACTGCTATCAGAACTAGATAGTTCTCCACTCGAACTTTCGGATGTTGTGAAGAAACTGCTCATGGAACCCTTTCTCCTGATCATGGGCCGTGGCTCATTAGTTGTTGGTTCCTTTTCATCATCGCTGTTTTGCACAATTTCTTCCTGGTCACTCAAATTCTTCTCAGAGTCGCGTCGTTTGGGACTCGCCCGTTTGGGAATCCTTCTAAAACTAGGCATCTTGGGAATTTGAGCTCTAAGCCCTAAACCAAAAGAAGATCCGTATCCACCTAAATCTAAACTATCTCTGTGATTTTCTAGAATTGTAGAAATATTTTCTGATTTCTTTTGAATAGGAGTAATGTCAGCTAGTACAGTTCCTTTATTGGCAGATTTGCTCTGCTGTTCATCCCACCAGTTTTCAAGTTTCTTATAAGCTGTATTTTCCACCATCCGTTTGTTGAAATCCTTTTTCAAAATATTTTTCAGTTCAGCTGTGATTTGTTGCAGGACGCCGTTGATTGTCATAGCATGCGGATCATCTTTCTCCACGGCCTAGAGTTGTATAAACAAATTACAATAAATCTATTAGAACTATTTCTTTGACGAATTTTTATAATTCAACCGCTGCAGGGATTCCGTGATCCCGAAAACCGGGTATGTATGTGTACGTACGTATGACGCATCGGCAAGATAAGGCGATTGTTTATAAATTATATACGACCTAATGAATGGAACCCATTTATAAACATTATTAGTCATCCACGTGCATTGTTTTCATATCTAATTCGTTATCAATGATTTTTAAACAAAATATACAATTGACACCTTATAATTCTCTATATTGCATATTTTCCTATTTATCATTCGTATTTATTTATTATTTCATTTTTATTAGTTATCGAGTGATATAATGTTGGTCTTGGAGGAGGATGACCTCTTTCTTATGCGTACATTGCAGATTCTTAGAAATCGTTCATATAGAATTATTTTATTTATTTTATAGACAATCATAAAATACAATAATTTTCTATGAGTCTTTGTGATGTGTTGATATCTAATGATGATTTAATTATACATTAATATACTATACTAACACTTGCAAGTACTAATTCATATCGACTAATAATGTACTCGGATTATTTCTTTATGACAATTGTGCCGACAATTGTAGAATGAGAAAAAGGTTTTCGGCTTGTTATATTTGTACTAAAATTCAGTCCTCACTTGAAGATTAAACAATTGTTTATTTTTTTAAAAACATATTTTAACAAACGAAATATAAGTTATTAATTGAATTTGTTTTTTTTCATAAATATATAATTCCATACAAGCCTATTATATGTAAAATGTAATGTAGTAGTTAATATATAATTGTTTAATTGCACTTTTTTTTGTATCTATCTACTCCTATTCTCTACGTAATAAAATAATATGTACTCATTTTAGAACAATAATAATATAAATATGTCAATACAACAACTGCTGTAAATAATTAACTAATTTTTTCATTGATAATACCGGTATCAATACCGGGACCCAGTATTACAAATTTCAAATATTGAATACCGGTATTCAGATTTTAGTACGGTATTGGAAGCCTTACCTATAATATTTTAGTATGTTATTTTAGACTGCTAAATCTATCTTTATATACAAAATTTAGTGAAAATCGTAAAAAATGTTTTTCAACATTTAATTACAAAGAAACGATTCGGCAGATCTTTGCCAGTTTTTGGTATCAATGCGATTGCCAATCAATATATGCCAAACAGCTTTTGAATTTTTAAAATTCGATTCAAAATTGTGGGCTAAAATGTAGATGACAGATTTTACACAATCTGCTAATTAAAAAAAAAGCTCGGCCAATGGTCGCGCAAACTGATAAATGCTTGTCCTTATATTGAATGGCTTTAAAAATTTTGAAATTGGTCAAAAATCGACTCACATATACATGCACATACATATACATATACACATTCTTAAAATAATTATATATCCGCAAAAACAAACTCCTTCAGAGAGTTAATAATAAATTCTAATAAAAAATCAAAGCAAGATAATCACTGCACTTCAGCAATATTAATAAAATAATTTATTTACTCACATGTGCCTCTTTTGTACCACTAGGATACATTGGCGGAATATATGGTCCAGAATTAAGAGCATAGCCTGGATAGTGCTGCGTGTGAGGCATATGATACATCATCTGTGAATCATATCCTGTCCCTGGAGGCATTTGATAACCTGGAGGTGGAGCTTGCCAATCTCCATAACCAGGAGGGTAATAGTTGATTGTTCCAGGTGGAGGGGGAGGAACCGCCACAGTCGGTGGCGGTATCCCTGGAGGTAAGTTCATATGCCCGTACTGATACGAAGGCGGGGGATAATCTACTCCAGGGGGGTATGTGGTAGTTGTTTCAGATACCTTTTCAGTCGATGATAATGATGATAGTGACATCTGTTCCAATATATGATAAAAATAAAAACAATATATGAAAGAAAAAATCTAATATTGACCATTGTAAATAAATTGATCATCTTAAAATAAGATAAATTATTGCACTTATGATATTTAATAATGTATATATTGAAAACTATTGATTGTAAAGTCGATTTTTAAATTATTTGACATATATCAATTGCCTAATTTTCTTTTGGCATTCGTTGAAAGATGGAAAATCAATATGAAATTTTTTGTCAAGGCATATTGAAGCATATTAAACTCACAAAAAATTATGAGATGTTTATGGTATTGAAGCCTTAAAAAAACGGCAGTGTCAAAATTAGTTTGCCAAATTTAATTCTGGTGATTTTACACTTAACGATAAAAAACACTCTGGCCCTCAACTGGAAGTTGATTAAGAAGAAATTGTCTAGTTCCACTCTTTCTAGACAACCCAACTATCAATTCTGATGTCTACATTGAACAACTAACAAAACTGAAACTACACTGTGGAAGAAAAGCGGGCTGAATTAACAAATCAAAGCATTGATTTATTCCATTATTAACATCACATATCTTTAGCCACTCGGCCAAAATTATTAGAGATAAATTGGGATGTTTTGCCACACCCACCATATAGTTTTGACCTTGCACCTTCTGATTACTTTTTGTTTCAATTTTTATAAAACTCCTTCAATGGTAAACAATTCAATAATGATGAGGATGGCAAATTGTATCTGATTCAGTTTTTTACTAATAAAATCCAGAAGTTTTATGAAAATGTATAATGATTATAGAATAAAGTTAATAGTTCAATGAAAAAATCTGATTTTCTCTGAACATTTGAAAATCTGCACTTACTTAGTTGTCAACTATAAATTTTCATTCAATTACAATGTCAATTGCCCATTTAGCAAATTAAAAAAAAAAAACAGACAAAACTTATTAATAATTAGCAAAGGAATAAATATAATCATCACCTTATCATCATTTTCACTAGATCCAACACCAGGAGGTCCATGCACAGGACTATAAGTCAATTTATCTGATGGTTCTCCTGTCAACAACTCGTCTTCACTACTTGATATATCACTACCTAATTTATCAAACTCATTTGGCAACAATGGTGTGTTTTTTTTACGTTTTGCAGAAGCATTTTCTTTCAGTTTATTCTTCAGTATCTTCAAAAAAAAAAGAAAAAGATTACTTATTGCATTCAGACCAATACTTTAACAACTTGAAATCGAAAAACTATCTTTACACATTCGCATTCAAACTCAATAATTCAATAAACTCTTTTGGTACAGTATTCAAAAAGTTGTTTAAAAAAAACGGCTTGTAATAATTTTAATGTATGATAATTGTTAAGATAAAAATCATGAATAAAATGTTTTAAAAGTACTAGAGGGGCGGCTGTTGAACTGTTGTTACTATTTGTGATACATATTTGATAATTAATTCATAATTATTACCTCTTTTGTATCATGCCATTTGTAATATACTAGACCATTTGAAGAGCAAAAAAAACACATTTATGAATTTCTACAAATTGCATTGCTTTTCTACATAAAGATAACTATGTAACAGTTCAGATATTTACAAACTTGGTAGAACCTAATTGTACTGAACCAAAAGAGTTAAACAAACACAAACGTTGAATTATATAATTATATATAATTACGTTTCTTACCTCTTGCAATTGTCTATGATTACTTAAATATACTTCATAACTCAAAAAAGGTGAAGGGGGATCACTCAAAGGTGATTGTAAAATGAGATCTCTTGGAACTTCGTTTTCTTGAACATGATCAATAGGACCTTAAAAATAGATCAATTATTAAAAGCATTCAACTGAATTATAGCACTGTTAAATAAAATTATATACTTCGTTTTTCAGGGCTTTGGTAAACTTTATCATTATCCTCTGGCTCAGACTCTGAACTCATGCCAAGTTGTAAAAAAGGTGGCGCCATGCCTCCTGATCCTTTACCTTTTAGCAACATTGCAATTCTAAACATACAAAAAACAAACCGACCTCTTTAACATTCAATTACAGAGAAGATTGTTACTTAAAATAAATTAATAAATCCATCCAATTCAAAATTTAAAATTTGCACATACCGAGTATCTAAATCAACAGTAGAATTTTCTGTTTTGCCCTCATCTTTTTTCTCGAAAACTGGAGAATGATTCTTTTTAGGAAGAACTGGAGGAACTTCTACCCAATTATTGAGAACTTTAGGTTCAGGAGGTGCCTGAATATATTTTTTCCAATGTATAGTAATAGTTTTAAATATATATTTAAATCAGACATATCCAAATCTAATTACGATCACTTACAATAGTTGAACATGAAGTCGGTGTCTGTGGTGCTGGTGAATGATTCCAAGGTTCCTGACCAGGCCACGGTGGCATGGGCCACATATGTTGCCCTGGAGGTGGAGCAGGCATATTTTGATATGAATTCATATTGTATTGGTAACTAAAATGAAGAAATTGACAAATGTCAAAAAAAAAGAGAACTTCAAACTTTGTGGTATATACTTCAGTATCACTTTTTTCTTGTAATTTACTCACCCTGAATAATAAGGATCATACATATTTTGAGGTGTTGAACTATTATATGTGGTTGTAGTAAAACTGCTTGTAACATCACTTTGACTACTAGAACTATATAAAGAATCACTTTTAACTGATGATACTGAAAACTCCCTCCCTTCTCTGCCACCTTTAAAATTTCTCTCTCGACTATATCTCCCACTATCCCTGCTTGGTTCTCGGTCCCTATCTTTGTCCCTGTCTTTGTTTCTATCACGATCTCTGACTCGATCATGTTCTTTATCTTTGTCTCGACCATCATAACCATCATAATGGTCTCTATCTCTATCACTTTTATATTTTCTATGGTAACTATCTTTGTCAGATCTTCTATCTCTATCCCAAGACTTTGAAGATTTTTCCCAGTCATTTTCATAACCGTCTCTCTCAGAATGAGTCCTTTCTCGTTCTTTTTGAGAATAGCCATCCCAGTCTTTTCGATAACTAGAAGATTTATCAGACACACTTTCTGTAGGAGTTACTGCAGAATGTTCTTCTGGTATTGAAGACTGCTTCTTGTCAGTTGTGAATTCCGTGAAAAGTTTCTTACACTCCTTGCCAAATGGATCCAAAAATACCCGAAGAACTTTTCCCATGACAGATGTGCCATTATATTTATTGACAAATGCTTGGGCACTTTTGACTAATTCAAAAACAAGCTTAGCTAGACCTAAATGTTTGTTGGTAACCGGGTGATAGAATATGACCTGTTCTTCGGTGTTTCCAAATTTTTGAACCATGTCTTTCAAAAAAGCCTTGTCAATGTTATCATTTAAATTGCAAATAGTTACTTCTAGTTTTGGTGGATCGCCAACATAGTTCTCATCTATTTTGAACCTAAAAAATGACAGATGGTTTGCAAATTTCTGTACATGACAAATATTGTATCTTAAAATATTTTTCAGGTATACCTAGGTACAGGAATATCAAGATTCTCGAGTCTGGTCCATATTCTTGTTAAATGTGATCTGGGGTCTCTCAATTGAACAGGAGGATAAGTTGGGTCATTTGGTACATAACCATCATACCTATATAATTTTGCAGTTCCTTTCATAAGAAATGGATCTACTAGCAATTTGTAATTCTTAGGACCTTTTTGAGCAGCAACATTGTTTTTATCCATTGCTCCATTCATCTAAAACAATTAACATAACCTCAAAATGAACAAACAAAACAAATCAATTGAAATTGTCTAAAAAATACTGTATTAAATTAGACATTTCATAAACAAAAATATACAAGAGTACTTTGAGATAAAAATATTCTAGAGATTTATTTAAAAAAAATCAAACCTTTTTATATTGTTTTCTAAATTATTCAATTTCATTGAACATTTTATTATGATATGCCGTTGGAGTATATTTCAGTCTTTTCCGCGCTTATTTATATACTACAGAAATTTTTCACCCGCCTCCAAAATGACTTAATACTTGAAATAAATAAAGTTTAGGAAATTTGACGATCTCCAGTAATATACAACTCCATTGCTGAGCTTGACTATGTTTGAAGCTAACCTCCAAATTGTCAATTAATACTCTAATATTAAAACCCATATCTGCACCAGATTTACCAAATCTTGCAGCATATACAAAATCTGAGGAATAATTTGAGAAATAATGAATCAATCAGGAAAATCCAGGATACAATCGAAAATAATTTTCCAAAATTTCATACGGTTATGCAAAGTCGTATGAGAACGGTAGACGGAGCGCCGGTGGAAAAATTTGATTCGTTCACTTTTCGTTTGGAAAAAGAAACGCAGAATGAACAAATGTCAATATTTTTTTTAGTTTTAAACAATATATAAATATTCCCGACTTTTGTATTCGTTTTCTCTTTTCGAAAAAAATATGGCGGTCATTTCATTACGCATCTTTGAATAACAATATCTTTAAACGTAATTTACTTAAGTATTTTTTGTTTTTATTAACGAATTCAAAATCTCCACGTTATCCGGAAAACGACGTTTGTACTGAATAATTAAAAATTAATAATTCGATTTAAACTCAATATTCAATTTTGTACACTTTTTAAAATTCATGTGATTTGATGAATAGTTGGTAAAGAGCTAATTAGGATTAATTATATAAAATTTAATACGAAATACACTTCCCGAGTTTTTTACTAAACCGACCGAATGAACGATATTGTTTTGTTATAATTAAACCAATGATTTTGTTCAGACACAGCATACTATTCAAAATTTTTGAAAATTTGTAAACAAATTATAAGTGTCATTTTACCTTTATGCAAGTTGCATAAAATTTCCGATACCTATAAATAATCGACTTAATAAAAAAAAACTAATCAATTAATATCTTTTAAACAAACTTATGATGTCTGCAAGTGTTAACACATTTTATTTTACTTTGTGTTCTAAAATTGCATTTTATTTAAGTGTGCACATCAACAGTAATCATTTTAAAAAAAAAACGTCAACAAAAGGTTAAATTAAGTGTTTGCATTTACTAAAAAGTAATCAATTGATATCTTTCACACCTATAATATAATATATGTAATTGTATTAATTAAATTTAATTTATTTAACACACTTCATTCTACATTCATTTCACTTTGTGTTCTAAAATTGCATTTTATTTAAGTAAGCACATCAACGGTGATCAGTGGTTTTTGAGAAAAATTCAAGGAAATTTGAAATCAAGACAATTTTTAAACTCTCGTAATTTTGTCAAAAACAGTGCAAATACATTAAATTAATAAATGGTCAAAACGAATGGAAAACTTTTTCTAAATTATTTCCCTTCTTTTTATATTGAGAAAATTGGTAACAAGAGTCCTCTCTATTACTTTAGCAACGATCACAACCGAATAATGAACAAATTTCACGTCGGTTTGTTGCGTCATTGGTGAAGTAAAATTTTTGAGGTAATTATATCACAAATACCGCATTTGCACTTGAAATAATAGCTTTTAAACTATTATTTTGCACGAGTTTGATATTTATTGAAACCGTCATTTATTTTACTTGTTTTAGATCAACTTGTAAATCAATTCAGTCTGCGCGGACAAAAAAAATTATAAAAATGTCATCCAACAAAATTAATATCATCCCCAAAGTTGCGGCTCAGGAGGCTACAGAAGAAGAGGAATTGGTCGATCCTCAACAAGCTTTGAGGGTAAAATAGTATTTTGATTAGAAATTTATAATAAAAGTTATTTGAGGTTAGAGCTTTTTGAGTCATTCGTTTTGCTTCGAATGCACAATGCAACAAAAACCTGTCAACAAATATAAGGAATTCACTATATATAGTGTAATAACTGTTAATTACACATTTGCATTGGGTTCATGTCACCCTGTGTCAAGATATTAGGTACACAAATTTTCAGACATTTCGATCATTTTAATACATATTGCTGTACTACAATACAACCAGGCTAATAAGAAAAACCATCACTGATAAGCTTTACTGTCAATCATTAATTAAGAAACTAGTCTAGTTTCCATAATATAAAAGTGAATAGTTTGTTCAAAAACTACTGCTTGATACTTCTATATTTCTTCCTCTTGAGTTTTTTTGTTTATATGTCTTATTTACTACAGGAAAAGTGTGCTGAGGAACATCACCCCAAGAGCCTCTTCGAAAAATACCAAACTTGCAATGATCGTGTGAACTCTAGAACGAAGACTGAGGAAACTTGCTCTGAAGAATTATTTGACTACCTGCATGCCCTTGATCACTGCGTCACCAAGACCTTGTGGAGCAAACTTAAGTAAAAGTGATAAATTAATTAGTAGCATCCAAATTATAATTCAGTTTGAGCTTTTAAAGCAATATAAATAAATAAAGATAGAGTTAAAATAATATGGATTTTTTATTTTTCAATTTCAGTTAAGCTATATCCGAATGGTTTATTGTTTGAAAGCATTAAGTGCATTATTTTAATACTGAAAATATTTAACTCAAAGTTCTAAAAATCCAAGTTGCAGTAGCTTATTCTTTATTATGGTAATTTAATATTCTTAACCTACAGTTAAACATTTATGATAAAAATATGTACAAAACTTAATAGGTGATGAAATATCTTTATAAAAACAAACTGAAGCTAAGATAAAATCAATTCATACTGTGCCAAGCAACTTATACATAATCACAGTAAAAATATTTATTAACAGTCATCTGTAGAAATTCTATAAAAACTTATTTATAATCTAGCTATCCACTTCCGATTTGCAATACATCGAAACACACAGAGCACACTCGTACTGGTTTGTTTTGATTGAATTTCAAAATAGGCACATCTTGCATAGAACAATTTTTACACAATATTCTTCCACAATGACGGCAGTGATGTTTTCTTACTGTGAGCGTGAACTTGAGCCCACATTCCTGACATAAATCTGATTCTGCCCAAGGGGATTCCTGAGCTAGTTGATCTAGGAGTCTAATAGAGATAAATCATTAAAAAAAAAATCATCAATTTATAAAATAAGGTTCTGGCAAATAATTTAGTATGGTATGTTGAAAAAGTTTTCATATGTAGCTATCAAAATTTGCACATATGTTGAATTCACATATAAAAAATGAATCTTGAATGCATCTAGAATTAATAATGTTTATATATTATAGCCCATTTGCATCATATTTAACATAAAAAAAATTGTTCACATTACTTTTTTTTCATATTGTACGTGTGAAATTGTTTAAAGGTAAAAATAATATTATTTTTGAGTATCCATTTGTTAGAAATTTTGTTCAGTATTGTAACATCTGAAATGCAGTTACAAATGAAGATACCTTCTTTGCTTTCCTTGTAAATAAACAACACAATGCGAGTGAACTAGGATGAGCCTCAGACACACTATATTATACACAAATCGTTGCAGAAATTACCTAACTTTACACATTTTTGTCAAATAAAATTATCATTATCCTTCTTATATTTTATATTAAAAAAAAAATGATAGAAATTCATTGTGTGAACAAGTTAGTTGTATAAATGTTAGTGCTAATTTTTTGTGCTGTGTACACATCTTTAAATGTGAGCTGCCAAAGTTAATATCCACTGATGATGACATTAAATTGAATGTCAAAACGTTTGGAATTAAAGATTTATTTATAAATCTTTGTTTATTTCTTTGATGTATCGCTCTATAAGAACTTATATATATATATATATATATATATATATATATATATATAATAAATATATATATATATGATGATAGTTTTGTCGACGTCGATTTGTAATATTTTTGCATATTATTTATGATGTAAAATTGATTGAAAACTAAATTTGTGTAAAATAATAATTAAATTAATAAATTATTTTACACAAATTTAGTGTTCAATCAATTTTACATCATAATTAATTTTTTCTGTTGTTTTTCCTGGTTTGGTATGTATAATTTCCTCCTTTTCATATATTTATATTTATCATCAACTTTGTATTTATGTTATATGTTTTTTAGATTACTGAATGATGACACACATCAAGTGTCGAAAGGTTTAATGGAATAAATAATTTTGTTATTTAATCTTTTTTTAATTCGACGATTGGGCTGCAAAAATATTACAAATATATATATATATATATATATATATATATATACAACATCATTAATAATAGATTAATTTATTTACAAACAAATTCTAATAATTCATTTTCACCTTCTTGTTCAAATTCAATAGCTTCCTCTTCCGCCCAATACAAAGGAACTATCTGTTTACCTTTTTTAAGCAATTTTTCGTATTTTTTAAAAAAGTTATTTTCTTCAGAAGGATTCCGATTAGTTTTTAGTTTTGATAATACTTTTAATTGCCTTTTTTCGGTTCTTAAGTCTGGAACCCCGTCTGATAGGGTCACCGATTCTGTTTACAGGTTGGATTGCAATGATTGCAACATGTGTTATATTGGAGAAAGTTCCCAGTATATTTATAAGAGAGTTAATCAACATATTTATAATTCAAAAAATCCAAACCAATTCAAAACGATGTTTTCAGATCATATGCTCAATCTCAATCACACTTTTAACACTTCACATCCTGTTATTCTTTATATCGAAAAAAATAGTGACCTTAGAAAATTTGCTGAATCCTTTTTTATTTCATTAAATTCCTCCTCTTGTGTTAATAAACGCAATTCATCCCACCTTTTACATGATAGTTACCAGATTGTTATTGATTTTATTAAAAAAACAAAAAATTAATTTGCTTATCTCTTTTATAGTATTTTTTACAGTATTGTTTTTTCTTTTTCTAACTTTTACATGGTTGCTTTTTCCTTTTGATCAATTCTAGCTCAACCACTGTGTTCGATGCGTTTTCGTGCCTCAAGAATTTGTCCTTGATGCGTCCCCTCCCATTCCTATCAATACGCCTATTGAAATAATTCAGTCGAGTCTGGATGCTCGGTATGGGCGTGTTTCTCGCTTCACAATGATGCATTTCATAACTTTTAGTCAAATTAGTTTTCAAATCTTTTAGTTATTCATGATTTTTTCTAAAAAAATGTTTTTTTTCTCTAATATGTTATTAAGTTTAATTTTTTAAATAAATTTTTGTTGAGTGTTTTTGTCCTGTGGTGTGTATAATGTTTCTCTATGCTATAATTAATCTATATTGTTGTTTATATTAGTTAATAAAATTTTCAAATTGTTGTAGTTGCTGAATGATGACACGCATCTTGTGTCGAAACGTATAAATAAAAGTTTTTATACTTTATACCTTTTTTATTTCGACGAATGGGCTGCTAGTTACTTTGAAATATGTTTCAACGTCGAAAAAACTATCAAGATATATATATATATATATATATATATATATATATATATATATATTAATTTGGCAATAAGAAAGTAAGACTTTCATTCTTAGTTGGTTTCAATTAAATTTTTAGCTTTGCTGACATATACCAAATGTGAAATACCTTTGCTATTAGAGAAAAGATAATTCAGCTATCAATCAGTGAAAAAGAGCTTTTCTATTGATTGCATAGTTTTAGTTTGGCTTTCTTTGAAAGATGGAAAATCAAACCGACTTTGTTTTATCAAATTTTGTCTTCTTATTTCTGCAAAGGTAAAAAGGCATCTTAAGCTCACAGAAAGTTATGAGGTGTTTATGGTAACAAAGCTTAAAAAACAGAAGTGTCATTGTTTGCCAAATTTTGTTCTGGTGACTTTTCACTCAAAGATGAAAAATGTTCTGGTCGCCCAGTTGAAGTTCATTACAAGAAAATGGTCTATTTTCACTCTTACCATCCATATTGATGTCTATATTGAACAACTAACGAAATTAAACAAGGCAGTTGAATAAAAACTGCTTTGAAGTGATTTATTCCATTATTGACATCACATATCTTTGACCACTTTAAAAATTATTGGAGCTTGGTTGGGATTTTTTCTTATCCACATACATTCCTGACCTTATACTTTCTGATTACTTTTTGTTTTGATCTTTACAAACTTTCTTGAATGGTAAACAATTCAATGGTTATGATGGTGTCGAATTGTAACAGCTTCATTTTTTTGCTAATAAAAACCAGATGTTTTATAAAAGTGGGATAATGATGTTACTTGAAAGATGACAAAAAGTCATTGATCAAAATGGACGATGCATTGCAGAGTAAAGTTATTTAGTTCCATTAAAAAATGTCTGATTTACTAGAAAAATCCACATTTGTAAATGTGATCAACTCTCATGAGCTACAAGAAATCCTTTGATGAGAGTCAACGTCTTCCAATTTCTAAAAACTTTAATAATTTACCCTTTAATAATTTTAGTTGGCAACCTGATATATATACATGCTAATGATGCAAATGGATCGATGATGGTCAGTTAATTATAATGTATTACCTATGAAGTAATTGTTTAGTAGGCACTTGGTAGTTGAATATGTTGACACCATCCTTATTTTCAGCTCCTAAACATGCACCAGCCCGCACTAAAACCGTACAAAGAGCTCTGTGTCCTTTCTGATAAGCTAGAAGAAGCGGACTATTTCCCTAATGTAAAAATTAATTTCAATACAGTATTAAATAAGATTTACAGAAAAAACAATAATAAAATATATGTTCAAGAAAGTATGTTTCTATGTATGAATCTAAGATCTGAAAAATTTACATAAATATAATTTACAAGTATTCATTCAATTACCTGTATATCAGGAGTATTGATAGGATATTTTGGCATACACTCCAAAAAGAGTTCACAAATAGCGGCTGCGTTTTCTTTAGCACACCTGCATAACTCATGCAACGGGTTTCGTCCCTTCAAATTAATTGCTTCTGCATCTATGGTGCTTTCTGTTAAAAGCGCCCTGGCCACTTGCAAATGACCAGATCGCGCTGCTACATGCAATGCATTATCACCATCGCCATCCAGGGCATCGCAATCTGCAGCATTTTGCAGCAAAGCTGATATTACAGCAGATTTACCTGCTTCAGATGCCACGTGCAGTGCTGTTCGTCTTAGGAATAAAACTGGATGTAAGGATAATGTTCACATAGATAGATAAAATTTTATAGTGAGAAACAAGGATTTTAATAAAATAGAACTTAACTACGTAATATGTATGTATACAAATGAAACAAGTATATGTAAGGGTATTCTGGTCTAAAGGCAACAAATTTATGCAATTTTGGAAAGTTCATAAAAGAAAAGCAAAAAATTAACTATATTTTTTTTACAACTTATTAATGTTTTAAGAATTTAAGATTAGAGATTTAAAAACCATTTAGTAAGCATATTTTAATCTTACTTATGTGCATCTCTGTCATTAACTCGGGCTCCAGCCAAAACTAAACTTCGAAGCAATGTTTCATCACCTGAAAGAGCAGCAAGATGGATAGGTGGAGTCTGATCTGAATCCTAAAAAAAAACAAATAATAAAAATAATAGTTAATACTATATTAACGTTAAATGACCTTAAGATTAGATCACGGTTTTATTTACAATCACTAGATCATTCTAGATTAACATAGAATGTTCATTGTTTTCAAAATGCACCCAATTCTAATTCGATCACAAGTGATGAATTTTGTCTAACATTGGCATTTACATACAATAACGTGAATAGTTTAGTTTTTCTTATAGTGGTGTTATCAGTTCGAGTTTCTCATAAAGTTTGGAACAAAACATTACAGTAAATTACCTGTATTTGCAGTAGGTCTATATAACTCATTAATCTTACTCAAGATTGCATAATACAATATATCTATTGCAGTTGTTTTTTTTTATTATTTTATTATTTAGATACAACTTCCATATTAGTTGTATTTTATTTCAGATTTGCCTTTCCTGACCATTTTATATGAAAGACTCAAATATAGTAAATAACTCACATGATTTAAATGCTATGATTATAATCAATTACCTGCACTCTGGAATTAACATCAACTCCACTGGCCAATAAGAAAAGTACCGATTCCATATCTCCTTTCAGTATAGCAGTATGTAAGAAATTTCTACCCCTGCCATCAGTCTGTTCTGCAGCATTCGGTAATCTGTCCACAATGCTTTGAGCAGCTTTGTGATTTTTAACTGTTAATGCTGTCGCAAATGGCGTCAATCCACTCTTATCCCTCAAAGATAAATCTACATACACAAATAGTAAATAAGGCAATGAATCAATAAGAAGGAAAATATTGTATCACAATTAAATTCCTTTACCTATATTAGGTAAACTAAGCAGCATTCCAATAATTGGTTCATGCTGGTTTTCAATAGCAACATGAACTGGCGTCTTCATATCCCCATCTCTAGAATTTACATCTGCACCATGTTCTATGAGAGCTGCTAAAACTCTTTCAAGACCCCATTGACAGCACGAATGAGCAGGAGACTGCTTTTCAATAGCAGCATCAGATGGAGGATATCCTGGTGCTTGTTGAATGGGTGAATTCAAATCGCAACCAGATTGTATTAAAAATATTGCAATATCGTCTTTATTTTCATCAATAGCTCTAAAATATTATTAGGTAAATTTCAGTTTCCTATAATATTATAAAAATTATGATATACACCTATTACCTATGTAAAAGGGTCATCAAGCAGCCATCAGGACCAAGCTCCCAGCAATCGGTGTCCACGCCATGCCTAACCAAAATAGAAGCAATATTTTCTTGACCTGATTCTAATGCGCACCAGAGTGGACTGGCCGATACTTTTTGCCCTAAAATAAAAGATTATTTTGAAAATCAATATTTGTAATTTTGTCAGATTGAACTGACGTCAATACCATTAGATGTTGGCGAACCAGATACAGGATCAGGAGCAGCTAAAGAAACACCTCTTTCACATAATGATTCTACTACATTTTCTAGCCTGCAGTGAATAGCCAATTGAAGTGGAGATTCATTATCTTCAGATCTTTAATATAATATAAAATTAGATAAATTAAAATCAAAACTATATAAATTGCACAATGAAATAAATCATATATTTAATATTTATACTTACAGCATATTCATATCAGCACCAGAATCCAATAGGAACAGAGCTGTTTGAACATCTTCTTTCAATATAGCCTGATGCAGCAATGTAAAACCTTTACTATTTCTAAGATTGATATCAGATCCTCCCTGAATAAGGGCACTAACCACTCCCAAATGACCTTCTGAGAGAGCTACGCAAATTGGAGTATCGCCTTCCGAATCCTTCACGTTGAAATCGGGTAAATTATTGAAGTTTTCAGAATTTGGAAGACGTTGACTTTCATCAAAAGTTTTCTTGTAGTTTATGAAAGAGTTGATCACATTTACGCGATTGAAAGCTACCGCACAATGTAAAGCTGTACGTCTATAAAAAAAAAGTTGTGATATTAATTTTGATTTATGAATTTCCAAAGAGCACACTCACTTTTTTTCGTGATTCTGCATATTAGGCATTGCACCACGCCGCAAAAGTTCTGTCACTAGACGATCCAAACCTTTTGTGCTCGACACATGCAGAACTGTTTCACCTGCAGAATTTACATGGTTTAGGTTTTTCACGTGATCACATAAAAATATTACGGCATCCTGAAAAAAATAAACAAGCAATTTTATCGATATTCTAAAAAAAAACACAACATGCCTTTGAAACATCAATAAATGTTGTTACCTCCTTTTCCTCTTCGGCCAAGATGTGCATAAGGCTATTATCCCGTGCTCTATATATGGGATTCGGCCTAGCACCAATTTCTAATAATTTCTTTGTGTAATAATTATAATTCTGGCGCTCTTCATCATCAAATGAGTCGAATTTCGATAAAGCATAATACAAAGGTGTGTGTTCTTCACTTGTCGTTCTCAAATTGGGATCTATATTTTTCTGGTTTACTAATAAATCGAAAACTTGTTTATTGTCGGAGATCACAGCTATATGCAGAGGTGTCCTAATAATTCAAATATAACTTTTATAGTGACAGTCATCACACAAATGATTAGCGGAAACTATTTTATAGTTTTATAAATACTTACAATCCTCTTTTATTTTGACAATTTATGTCAACCTTAAGTTCTAATAGTTTTTTGGCAACTTCGAATGTTTCCTGGTCTCTTGTTTTCTTTTCTTCGTCTGATACTCCATTGCAGGTCAATTCGTCCGCCGGCACATGACTGTAGTTATAATTTTCTCGAAGATAATCGCAAGAGCCTGATACCAGGTGGAGAGCTGTGTCGTATGTGGGACTGTGGAAATAAAAACCAAAAATATGAGAAAAATTCATTTACCAAACACTAGGGGACTAGTTGTAAGTGGCATTTTGCCTTCAGGCAAGTTGCATGAACTTCCCGGCATGTGTAAATAATCCACTAAATCAATAAGATCTCGATATAATAATTTATGAGTGATTTATAATCATGACGAGTTGGTGTAGAGCTTTATATTGAAACTATTGTGGTTTATTCAATTTTGTACAAAATTTTTATGAAACAATTGAAAAACGAACACGTGTCTTATACATGCACATAGTATTTTCTAAAAGTGCGGCGTAATACGTAAATTTTAAATAATTTTTATAACTGAACCACTTTTCGTAGGACTATAATATTTTTAGTTTAACTATTATTTTAAATCAATTTATTCCTGTAATAATTTTTATATAACGATAAGTTCTAGCATTTGTCCCAAATGCACAATGCCTCTACTAGTTAACATCCCGTAGGGTAAGTTATAGTAATCGCAAAAAAATCGAAAATGAAAATTTTTGTATGTCTTTACGTTTCAGAGATTTCCAAACATTTTGGCATACCTTAGAAAAAATGTATGTGTGCGCGCGCGCAAATACAAATTTTCGTCGACGATTTCGGGAACACGGTACAATTATTCAAAAAACATTCGATAATTATTGATAAAAAGACATGATTAGTTTTTGGCAAAAGCAGGTCTAGCCGTTCCGAAGATACGGGGCAAAAAGTGCCAAAAACGGTAATTCAATTTTTAAGAGAACGGAGCGTCCGATTTTAATAATTCAAAAATCATTTTACTTGTATTGACAAGATGAAGAACTGATTTTTAGGAAAGCAGGTCTAGCGGTTTCGGAGATCTAGTCAAAAAAGTAAACAAAAATGCGATTTGGCGCAAAAATAATCATTAGACATAGGCACATCAAATTATCACATATTATATGGAGATTTTAATAATTTAAAGTTTGTTTACATTTCTATGAGTTCCGTAACATCGTTTGTCTGTTAGACGGCGACGCGGCGTTTACGCGCTTCTATATTTCGTCTCTAGGCAGCTAAAGCAGTACGATTGTTTCAAAAAAGTTCAAAATTTCAAAAATATTCCAAAATAAAGAAAACTTTCTCAAAAAGTTTTTTTTTCGAAAAGTCATTTTTTTCAAAATTTGAAAATTTCTCAAAAATCTAATTTTTTCAAAGTTAAAAAAAAAATAATTTTTGGCTCGGGAAGTTCCAGCAATTTGTCTTAAGGCACAATGCGATACCCAACTAGTTTCAATTTAGAATCATCAAGTCCCTGAACAACATTTTATTAGCTTGCTGAATAATAAATATTTCCATAATTAATTTCCCATTTACCATTAAATCATATAAGAGATCATTGACATTTAAACAATCTAGCTATCCAAAGTCATTAACGCGAATCACATCCAATAATTAACGATCATTTTGTACTTTCAAATGACATCAAAACAAGAATCGAAACTTTCGAGAACGGATGCAAAGTCGAATGAAGTGCGGTTAATGTCAATGGTAAAGAGAATGTAAAGGATTTTATCAATCAACTTTCTAAAAGAAAATTTTCTTCATTTTGTTTGACATTTATTTCCACCTACCTTGCCGTCAAATGAACATCGGCGCCGTTCTGCAGCAGGAACATTGCTGCTGCAGGTTTTCGAGCGGCCAGCGCTCTATGCAATAATGGTGCCTCTCCCATCTCTGCACTAAATTCCCCATTTGTCCAACTTGTTGCAAGGTTGCCATTTGATGAGATTTTATGTAATCCTTCAAGGTTCTCGTTGGATCCTTTTTTCGCTCCGGAATTCAAAATAACTTTTGCTCTTGTGTCAATTTCTGCGCCATGTTGAAGGAGAGTATTGGCGACGGCTGCTTGGCCGCTATATAAGGCTAATTCTAAAGGAAGTAGTCCTGGTACTTCTTGAGTGACGGTGAAGTCGCTGGTGTCTGCGGAGATTGATGGAGCGTTGACCAATTCTCGTAACTAAAAATAAATAGATACATATGAAATATTTGGAATTGAGATATCAAACGTTTGAAATTGACGTGACAAATCTTTTTTTCAATTATTATACAATAATTTTCACACATATCCTAAAAAGACAACAAGGAGAGTATTAGGAATGAGAATAGACTTTGAAAATACAAAATCATCGGACCAATGATTTAATTCCAAATTTATGAAAAATCATAAATTAAGCCATATTTATAAATATGATTGGGTTGCTCCAAAAAAATTTCTTATTTCAGGATAAAAATAGTGGGGTGTATGGCATCGTGTTTTAAGGCAAATTGCTGGAACTTCCCGTACCGTAATGAAATGTTCGAGGAATATTGAATGTTTTCAAATAGATTAATATTAATATTGTAACATTATCTACTATTTATAAGAATTATATAAACTGAATTGCAAAGTTGAAATTATTTGTTTTAAGTATATTAGAACTATAGTCAGAATTAAAAATAAAATCTGAATTACTTTCGATATAAAAAAAAATTTTTTGAAAAAAAAATTGAATCAAAAAATGTTTTTTTTCTAAAATCAATTATTTTGTTAAGACAAGCAGAAAGTTCTTTCAATCATTAAAATCGGACGCTTAGTTCTCTCAAAAACTGCCATTTTTTATACATTTAGCTCCATATTTCCGAAATGTCTGGGCATGCCTTTGCCACAAACTAATAAACACTTTTCCCAATCATTACTAATTGAATGTTTTTTGTGAATGAATGTGAAAGAAGGACATCGTACTATTTAAGTTCTAGAAATCTTTAAATAAGATTGTGCAGGCTACCCTGTGGCGTAGTGGCAAGAGCTCTGGTCTTTCAAGCAAAAGGTCCAAGGTTTTTTCACTCATCAAGAGGTAAGGGCTTTGGTCTATCAACCAGAAGGTGCCAAGGTTAAATCATTCATCTAGATTGAAAGCTGTATCAAATCATCAACAGTCATCCTGATATCAAACAAAAGTGATAAAAGTCTTTACTTGAAAATATGGATGGAACTATGTTTCCTAATGGAAAAAGATCTTTGGCATAGTTGCATCAAATTAAAAATCATCAGTCTTAGAGAAATTCTAATATTCTAATAGTAAAATATATCATATACAGATGAGCAAACCGCTAAGTTGCCTTCTAAAAAGCAATTTGGTTAAAAAAATATTCATCCCACCAGCTCATCAAACTGTTAATTTCCGATTGCTAACCATAAATCAATTGTCCTACTGCAATTTTCTATCTAATGATCTCCGTTACCTTTTATCCCTGGCAAGAGGCATCTTGAATACTTTTCTTTCGTCATTGACGATCATATGATCGACACTGACACAAAACCAGAAGTTCGAGTACGTTCAACTCGCATGATATTAACTCAACGAACAGGTAGAAAGTCAGAAATTACCGTTAATATTTGTGCAAACATAACAAAAAAATAACAATTACGTACACACGAAATTACTGATGATATGGCCGTAACAAAAAATTAGGGAAACAATTATAATGCCATTTTAAATTGTGTAATAAAAGATGCAGATTTTTGTTGATCTTTCAAAGTCATTGATGGATATGGACTTATAAATTGCTTAATCAATCGACCATAAAGGTTAATACTAAGTTTTTTTTCTCTGTGCTATATACTGAAAAACGCTACAAATACTGCGAATGCATTTTATGTAATGTTAAAAGTAAATTTGAAAATAATATCTCCCAGTTCAGCACAGAAAAATGTAAAAAATGCAATAAGGAGCAAAATGCCTTACATTATTCAACTGAATGTGGTAAAAAAATATGGGATTGGATGAAAAGTAAACTAAAAATCCTGAAAATAGTTGTAACTGAAGACGATGATAAACTAAACAAAATAGATATACAAAATAAATCAAAGAAGAAAAAGGATGTTAAAATTTAGCTGCTATTTGAAATCTAATATAATTCATATCATGGTATTAACACAATGTAAGTAATTGAGTAACATAATGAGAAAAATTAGGAAATAAGGATAAATTAGGAAAAACTAGAAAAATAAGGCAATAACACACAAAGAGAAAAAAAAGAATATTTTTTGAAGAATGGTTATAAAATCCACTTATGTATAAAATAGTGTAAAATGAAATGTAAATATTTATTAATGTAAAATAAAGAAACAAAAGTTATTGTTATTACTACAATATACAGTGTGGACCACAAAAATGGAAGCTTATTATTAAGAAATTATTATTTATTTTTATTATATATATACATATATAAAATATTTTTATTTATTCAAAATAGCTGTAACATATCTCCTTGAACCAAAATAAGTTCAAATCGAAATGAAAATGAATAATAATGTTTTTTTGAATATTTGTTGTTTTACAAACAAATGCTTCTTGGCCCACCCTATATAATCAAAATACGAAGAAATTCATTTAAAAACTAATTTGTTCATATATTTTATTTCATGACACTTGTTTAATAAATCAAAAAATATTAAATTTCCTTAAAACACTAAGAGAGTTCACTACATTGCTACTATCAAAAATATATTTTGCAATGATTTGGATTAATTGTTGATATGATATGTAAATATGTTTTTATTTTTTTTTACTAATATTAGCTGTCGATACCGTTTTTCTAAAGAACCTGAAGAAAATTGCCGAATAGTTGATAAATTTTACAATTTACAAATGTTTTATTAGTCAATATTTATGTAAATCGCAGCAATTACAGTAATGAATGTAATAATCAATTCGAAAAAATTGACTACACCAAAATCAACTATAGAAACTTATAAAATTATAAGATCGCTAAAATTTAAAAATTAAAAACAAATGTTCTTATTGGTTTTGCTTTCTAAAACAACATAAAAGAAATGCAAAATGCTGCACCTATCAATTAATCAGATCAATAGATTAATAAATCAGTTAATTAAATTATAATTAAAAACAAGAAATATCAAAAAAAAAGTTCTCTGTATATATTTGACCATGAAAATCCTAAAACTGTACATAACTGAAAAGAAAATGCTTTTATGAAAAGCTTGAAAGTGTTAATTAATTGGTTCCCAATCTTTTTCACACCGCGCCCACCTGCTCAACTTTTGGAAAAAAAAAATGCTTTCTTTATTTTGAAATATTTTGGAAATTTTGAAGTTTTTTCAAAGCAATCGTACTGCTAGAGACGAAGCGCGTAAGCGCTGCGTTGCCTTCTAACGAACAAACGATTTTACGGAATCCATAGAAATGCCAACAAAATGTATACGTATGATCAAAATCTCCATAAATGTCTAATGATCATTTTTGACCTCCAAATGGCATTTTTTTACTTTCTTTACGAGATCTGCGAAACCGCTAGACCTGCCATCCCAAAAATTTAATCAGTTCTTCATCTTAACACAAGTAAAATGTTTTGAATTATTAAAATCGGACGCTTCGTTCTCTCAAAAACTGAGTTACCATTTTTGGCACTTTTTGCCCCGTATCTTCAAAACGACCTGCCATTGCCAAAAATTAATCAGCACGTCTCCTTATCAATAGAAATCAAATGTTTTTTTAAATAATTGAAATCGGTTAAACCATGTTCCCGATATCGTTGACAAAAATTTGTATCCGCATACACATACACATAAATCCATTTTTTCTAAGGTATTCCAAAATAATCAGAAACCCTGAAACGTAAAGATATATTAAAATTTTCATAACATAAGATAAAAAAATTAATGTTTCCTTTATTTTTTTATTTTATTTTAACATTTTTAGTTTATTTTTGAAAATAGTATTTTGGAAAATGCCCCCTGAAAAGACGCGTCCCTCAGGTTGGAAACCGCGGTGTTAATTAAAATCATCCTCAACTTTTTTCGTAATAGTTAAAATTGACTATCTCTTGAAAATTCATTGCTTATTTTTATGTGTTCAATTTTTAATAAAAAAAATTGTTTCTAATTGATTGCATTAAATTTTTTAATTCGAACGATTACCTCCAGAAAATGGAAATTTAAATGAGTACATTATTTTCAACGCCAGTAGTTGGTTCAAATTTAGAACGGGTAAGCTTTACAAAGTTGCAAATAATCAAGAATAAAATCTCGATCTATTAACGGAAACACTTAGGAGAATTGGCCAGCTCATCCACTTCAATTAAAAATGATTCTTGTATCTAAAAACGTCCATTGATAATTTCCAAGAATAAGTTCTCCATTAGTTTATTTGATATAAATATAAATATATAGGCGTGTGTAATGTCTCGGCAAAGGCCGAATGAACCACTTACTTACGACTAACGGTAGTACATGCATGTTTATACAGTAGGGAAATTGAGTGTATGCGAAATTAGTTCATGATCGCCAAATGCGATTACTTCAGATCATTGAAGGTAAACTAGTGGTGTATGGCATTAGGCCTCCAAATTCCTGGAGGCCAATTACTCGAACTTTTCGCTCCGTACGCGAAAATTAAAATAATTCATCTGATTTGAAGCATCAATTTCATTTATTAGTCCAGTCATTATATATAGTAAGTTCACCTCGGAATTCGAGATACCTTGCTGTAAGCCTGTAAATACTTGTATATTGGCACTCTAAAAGTTGTCTCAAAACCTACACATGGTAGGGTGTCAATACCATATGTAGGTTTTGAGACAACTTTAGAGTGTCAATATACAAGTATTTACAGACTTACATACGCAGTAGTCCAAATGTAAATCACATTTTGTTATTGGATAGCGAGCAATTCATCAGTCGATCCGCTTTTTATTATTAACTTCCCGAAAATGAAAATTTTTATATATCTTTACGTTTCAGACGTTTCTCAACAATTTGGCATACCTTAGAAAAAATGGAGGTTTGTGTGTGTGTGTGTTCGCATACAACATCAACCGATTTGATATATTCAAAAAACATTCGATTCCTATTGATAAGAGGACGTGCTGATTAGTTTTTATCAAAGGCAGGTCTAGCTGTTTAGAAGATACGGGGCAAAAAAACAAAAATGGTTTGATTTGAATAATTCAAAAATC